AGGGCTCAGCAGTTAAGAGCACTGACTGCTCTTGCGGAGGACCCAGGTTCGATTCCCAGCACCCACATCGTAGCTACGGACTGTCCTTAACTCCAGTTCCAGTGGAATCCAAAGCCCTTTTCTGACCTCTGCGGCATTGCACGACTGACACAGGTACACTTACATGCAGGCAATGCACTCATACACATAAAATAAAAATAATAAATATTTTAGGAAAAGAGGATGTCAGAATTTTGAGCTGCCAAATAGACTCGTAGCTGTTTTCAATTCAGAATATGATGTTTTAGGCAAGGTGTAAGTAGAATATAATAGGATAAAATTTGAATAACCAATGCCTAAAATATTCTATTAGTAATAATCAGTCATAAAACTGACACTAACTGATCTGCTTCTTGAATACCATATTGAGAGCATTTTTACATGTAGAACATGCATCGTGACATCTTATAATAATTTTAGAAACGTAAGGAAAATCTGTGTACATTTTGGAGCATGTGCCTTCTCTTAAAATGTTTTTTGTCTTCCACAAGAGTCTTACCTTCAAGTTCTGGGAGGCGCCAAGTGCAATGGCATTATTGCTTTGGGAGTCTCTTGCCTGCCCAACAACAGGAAGGGAGGTTTCCCTTAGCTGGCACAGGGATTTTAATAGGTATATTTTTGTTGAATTTTTATGCATTTCCTACAGTACATCTCAATCATATTTAGACCCTGTCCCTTATCTGTACCCTACATAGATCTCCCACAGGATTTCATGCATTCTGGCTCATACATTAAGGCCTAACAAGTTTGTATACCCAGATGTCCCTTAGCGTGAGTTCCCCATTGGAGCCTGTTCAGTCTATCTAGAGTCTCTGGCTTAAATAAGATTGACTCCCTCACACAGCAGTGTTCAACTGTGAGTCGTTCCTCAGCTAAGGCCGGGGCCTCTTGCCTGTTTCCTCAGCTCCCTGCTGACTTTTGTCTGATGGAGTGTGCATGGGTCTTGTGCATGCTGACACCGTTGCTGTAAGTTAATAGAGCAAGTGCCCAGAAGCCTGGAGTACTCTGTTTCCTTGTGGCCATGCGTGACCTCTGACTCTTGCAATCTTTCCACCCCCTCTTCTGCAATGGTCCCTGAGCCCTGGGTGGGCGAAGTTTAATATGAGTCCTATCTGGGGACACGCACTCTGCAGTCTCTTATTATCTACATTTTGGCGAGTTGTGGCCTTCTGTGTTCATCACCCTCTGATGTATGAGTAAACTTTGCTTCTTCAACCCCCTTCTACCATGTTGCATGAGCTTTAGTTTCCATTGTAGATGTGTCACTTAGGGCTGGGCATCTCACAGATGTTTATTCTCTGTGTGTGTGATCAGTTCTATAATGGTCTCCATCTTTTACAAAAAGAAACTTCTTTAATAATTATACCAATTATACTGGTATAATTGCCTATAAATATAAGGATCCATATTTAGCATACAGCAAGAAATTATGTTTGTCTAGGGATTTGACAACAGTAGGGTTTTCTCTAGGGTCTATGTCCTCTTCAGCTATGTGTGTTTGGCCATGTTTACAGTGACACACAGGAATTCCCTCCCAGTGGGTGGGCTTTAAGTCCAATTATATAGCTGTTGATTACCCCCTAGATAAAAGTACCAGCACTACACCAATATAATTTGCTGTGTGGGTCATTGTTGTGGTTATTAGGGCTTAAACCTGGGGTTGGACTGTTGATTTTCTCTCTTAGCAGCTTGCATACTATCCTCTAGAACTATGAGAGCTAGTCTTCAGGGAGGAGGCTTCTAGGTCATTTCCGTCTCCATTGTTCCAAGTCCTCTGCTCCAAATATGTCCTGTCTTCAACAAGAGGGTCTTAACTTCAAGTTCTAGGAAGTAATCAAGGGCTGTGAAAATAGTCTTTTGGGAGTATCTTGAGCTACCCTCACCAACTTGAAGGGAGGTTTCTCCTGTGTGTTTCTTGTTGTATAGCCTTCAGCTATACTAATGCCCTCATGTGCAGATATTGTATGTTTATTTTTCAGTAAGCTTTTAAACGAATATATTTCCCTCTGGTTTTTCATCTTACCTAAGTATTAGTTTTCTCTCATTTCTCTCTCTTTCTGTCTAGCCCTTCTTACTCCCTCCCCAGTTAAAGTACCCCATTTTCCCCATTTCCCCTTGACACCACCTAACTCCTATGACCTCCCCTTTCTTGAGCTCCTTTTTCCCACTTACCCCATGCTTCTTTGTATATGCATCCCTCCTCCCTTCCCAGTTAAATACCTCCCTTTTCCCCATTTCCCCCTTTGTAACATCAGTCTCTTACTATCCCCCATCTCCAGCTCACTCTTTCCCTTTACCTCCATGGTTCCTTTCTATTTTCTTGGCTCCTGTGGTTACATCAGGATACATACTCACATATAAGGATTATTTCACTTAGTATAACAATTTCTAGTTCTATCCATTTACCCTGGTGGGCTGGGGGTGAGTCGGGCATTCTTAAGTGGCCTCAGAGAGCTGGGTCCAAGCCCAATGTAAATGTGAACAAAGAGCCATGGACAGAAAGGTCATAGACCCTGGAGGAGAGCCTACTACTGCTACTTTTCTAAACAAATGAATTTTCTACCTATAGTCTAAATACTTATCCTTAAATCCACAAATATGAGTAGCTCTCACAACTCACCAAAGAAGCTTCTATTTTTCAACAGATTGAGACAATTAAAAAATTCCACAACTGGACAAAATTCAGAGTATAAATGACTGGGATGCTCAGCCCCAATTGATACATCTACAATGCAACCCCTACACCCAAGGCTTAGGAAGCATTATGGAAGAGGGAGGCAGAAAAATGTTAAGAGTTAGAAGACCAGGATGGCTGCTGCAAGACAGTGTCTTCTAGACGTGACAGGGAAGCTGTACACATGAAATTGCCGCAAATGGTTTCCTAAACAAGTCCCGTGTGTGTGTGTGTGTGTGTGTGTGTGTGTGTGTGTGTGGCCACTGTTATATCTGTGGGCATATTATACCTTGCCAGCCAGTCATTATTGTAGCTCACAGGCTTCTCAGCTGAGCAAGGTTGATGATTACTTTCCTCTCCCAATAGCATGCATAGAACCTTCCAGCAATATGAAACCTAGCCAACTATTTGAGGTGAAACCTTGAGGTCAGTGTCAGTTGATTTTTTTTCTTGTTTCTTCTACAACTCAGATATGTTGTGTCTTCAGCAATATAGTCTTAGGGTCAAGTTCCAGCAGGTAACAAAGAGCAATGTCAGTATCCAGTATTGTTTAAGGGTCTGTGGGGTACCCCTGGACAGCAACTTCAAAAGAGGGAGTTCATTCCTGGCATTGGGCTTTTTATTTGCTGTCCTGTGGTGTCTTTAGTGCTATTGAACTCCCATTATATGGTAACTACACTGGAACTCTCTCTCTCTCTCTCTCTCTCTCTCTCTCTCTCTATATATTTTGTGTTTTTATTTATTTCATGTGTGTGTATTGCCTGCATGTAGGTAAGTGCACCCATGTCATGCAATACCCGCAGAGGTCAGAAGAGGCTGTTGGATCCCCTGGGACTGGAGTCACAGTTGTTAGCTGCCATGTGGGTGCTTGGATTCAAACCCCAGTCTTCTGCAAGAACAACCAGTGTTCTTAACCACTGAGCTTTTATAGTATTGGTTTCCATATGACTTTTCCCAAAGACCTTTAGTGTTAGTAATCCCTCCCCATACTACCTCCTGTACGATACCCTCCCAGTCCCCATCCCCTTTAACCCTTCCTTTGTTATTCCACTTTTCCCTTTATATCATTGCATTCTATCTCCCCTCCCAGGAACTCTTCCCATGGTCCCTTATTAGATTGTTTACTTTTATGGATTGTTTTTATGTCTTCGTGTTCCTTAACTTATTTCACTTATTTGATTTTGCTTACTACAAATTATCTAAAAGCAATTAAATATTTAAAAATGGTCTACATAATTTGGAATAATAAATCCATATAAGCATCTGTAGGATGTTATATGTACATTGTAGTTTTCCATGATATAATTTGTGCTTGTGCATAAATCTGCCTGGATTTGCAGGATTGTGTGAGTCAAAAAGGTGACATGAGAATGCCTACAGAGGCTTAGCTGTCCACGTGGAACACAGTCTTGGGACCTTGGCCAGACTGTGTATAGACAGAGATGATCGCTTTCGTCTTGTGTGGTCACCACCAGTGGCGGCCGCTCCTCCATTCTTGTGGGTGCCGCTCCTTCGTTCTCATGGGTGTTGAGGCTGCTCCTCAGCTCACTCAGGGCTGAGGCCGCTCTTCTACCTGCCCTGGGCTAAGGCCACTCTTCTGCTCACCTGTTGCTGAGGCAGCTCTTCTGCTCGCCTTGTGCTGCCTCCTGATGTCACTGCTTCTGCTGGGTCCCAGACCCCAGGGCTGGTGAGGAGACTGTGTCAGCGGAGCCACATTCAGACACAGGAGACCAGGTTCAGTGACACAGATCTGGTTTATTGCAGGAAGGCACAAGCTTATACAGGGGTAGTGGTCCAATCACAGCACAGCAAGTAGGATACCTTTTTAGCATAACAGGTTAGCATCCTATCACAGTACAGCAGGTAGGATACCTTATTAGCATAACAGACTTAGCATCCTATCACAGAATAGCGGGCAGGATGCCTCATTAGCATACTGGGTTTCAGATTACAGAGCCTGGATTCCTGGAAACCATGTGACACTGACTGTTGTAATATCTAAGTGTTTCAATTTGGAATTCCAAGGGTGGTGATTAGGGAGTGGCAAGCTCTAGGCATCAGTCTCATGATCTGCCAATAGGAGCAAATGTCACAAGGTGTTCCTTGTGGCTCCAGCAGTCAGGCCATTGCCTCGGGCCTGCTGTACGGCTGTCAGTAAGACTTTCACACTAGGCTCAAGCCTGTCTCCCACAGTCTTGTCTCATGTTTTAGTATAGAGATCTTCTGGAAGAAATTTAAATAGATACTACTCCCTGCTACTCAAAATCTGTTTCAATAGTTTTTCAAATTAGTTTGCTGAGAGTGCCATAAGAAAATGTGACACACACTCGCTGGCTTAAAAATGTTTTCTCACAGGTCTACAGGCTGGATGTGTAAGACCTAGCCAAAAGTGTGTTCCCCATTTTTTCATTCCTCTCGAGCCTTTGCTCCTTATCTCATAGATGGCAGTCTTCTCCCTTTATCTCATTAGTCTTCCTTCAGTGATCTCCATGTCCTATTTGACAGAGACACCTGTCATGTTACATCAGAGCCCACCCCAGCCTCATTTATCTGAATTGCCGCTTTAAAGGCATAGCTCCAAATGCAGTCACACTCTGAAGTACTGAAGTACGAAGGTGAGCACTTAGGAAAACGTGATTTTAGGAGGCCACAATTTAGCTCACAACAGATATCAAACTACTACCACAGTGATTAACTAGGAAGTAAGCCATTTTCTAGCTGCTATTTGTTTAGGAAAGTTGGCTAGATTTATTCTGTTTAGGTCTATGAAACGAATACTATTCTTTCCTATGGATTTCCTATATACTTTTCAGGGACTAGTTCATTCAGTACTGCTGTACTGCTCATGTGCACTCTATATGTCCTTTTTTGCGCAATTGGACGTTTTTCCTCGAAGTATTCAACTATATAGAGATTGGTTGTAAAAACTAGGAAAGATCTAAGTTCTTTCCAGTAAACGAATTCCTTATACAATTTGAGTTAAGTAGCATTTTAGTTTTTATGTGTGATTTTTTAACTTCCTGACTGTTGGAGAATTTTTTTGACATATATATTATCTTCCAATTTGTCAATAAATTGATATAATGAAAGATGGTAGTTTTAAACTATTATTCCTATACATGTAATCTACCACTAGGCTGAGTCTGTATTTCACAAATACTATCTAACTCTCATTTCAACCCTGTAAATTAGGTTCTGTTATCTCTATTTGAGTTTGCAAAATTGACAGAAAAAAGAAAAGTTAATTGTCCAAGGTCACGCAGCTACTAAATGGTAGAGCTATTAGAACTCAAGTTACCTGGCTGTGGAGTCCAATCATACTATGCACACTTTCAAATGACTGGTAAGCCTACAATAGGAACGCTGTAACTGCCATGAATCTTTACCACCGTGCCATTTGTGATACATGTATTTTATACCTACTTAAGTCATGCTATGGATAAATACTGCTTCTGAGGGGACTAAAACAAGAACAGAGGACCTGGAAATTCATAGATTTATGGTCACTGACTTATTGTGAGACATGAGCAAGGAAATGACTTCACTAGTTGAACCAGGAACAGCTTTCTATTCCACTCACAAGGAATTTGAGGATCAAATGAAGTGGCTGTCAAAGTAAGATTTTGGCCAAAGCTTGTCTTGATTTATTTACTGAAATTTCCCTCCATTAGCCAGAAGTCTGTGGTACAACACTTTCAGCCACATAAAATATGTCCTTAAGTTCCCCAAACAGAAAGGAATCAAATAGCTATCTCATAATCTGTTGTCTTTCATTTTAAATAAAGTTCTAGGTTCATTCATTTTACTTCCAACAGAAAACACCTAAGGGAAACAAATTAGAAGCGTCCATATAGTGGGGCATTATAAATAGTTTTAGGCAGGAATATTGACAGAAGCAAAAATAAATACATAAATAAAAGATTGTCAGTGAGAAAGGGAAATATGAAAATAAGGTAAATGTAAAATTAGAAAATAACAGGATTTGTGGATCATTTACAATCAATAAATAGATATTTCCATTGTAGTCATCTCCAAAGGCATCTCAGCATTGTACAGTAATCACAAATTAGAGTAGCGTATCATACGTAATTAGCACAGAAGTGGTGGTTATAGTGTCACTGTGTTCAAATGTCATTGTGAGCTGAGCATAATTACAGATGTTCATATTACAAGTTGAATGAAGAATCATTCCAGGAAGAATTTACGATTAATGAGTAAGCAAATGTTTTCATCATTTGTTAATTCACTAGCTTGGCACATTTTATTCTGCAATGCTGGAAATACTACATATACTCTACACATGTAGAGTGGTGAAAATTTAGATGATGTTAAACACATTTAATCAAAATTTTAACGTTTAAAATACATATCGTTTTGAGCTATTTGAATTTAAAAACATTTCCTATAAAATTAAAATTACTTCAACATTTAACATTCTGCACCAGTAGTGTGACTTCTAAAGTTGATCTGGTGAAATTGACTAATTTGCATTCATAATTTCATCTTTTCAGATTAAAATAATTGACATCAAACATCCAAACTGAGAAATAGTTATAATAGAAGTAATTTAATGTAGTATAGGACTATTAATGAAGGACTGGTAAGATGGCTTGACAGGGAAAGGTGCTTGCTTCAAGCCCAACAACCCAAGTTTGATCCCTGCAACTTGCATAGTAGAAGGAGAACCCACTCCAGCAAGTTGTCCTCTGACCTCCACCCACTCACACAACACATACAAATAAATATTTGCGGCTGTAAATATTTTAGAACTATTGTGCTTTATTCTCTTTATATTAGTTTGATGTTTTCTAAACTTAATGTATTAATATGAGCACATTAACACTGTAAGTGGGAGAGCTAAAAATAACAGCAGGACTATGTGATGTTTCAGATTATATTTTTAACTAGAGCTTGAGTTAAAATTGAAAGCTAGCTTAATAGTGTAGCTTCCTGTCTCCTAGGTAATATGAACAAATAAAGCCGCTTTGCTTTGAAAATCCAGTAATTATGTATAAATACTTAATACTACTCTTAATCAGTTCAAGTAAGGAAGTATTTGGTATTAATGATTTCCTATCAGTTATCTAGTTTTCTCTAACAAACTATTCTCAAATATCATTAACTCACAGCAATTTATTCTTTCTTATTACTTTTTGGTCATTCACTCTAGGTTCGCTCCTATGTCTCCATTCTGAAAATTTATTTGCCTGGCTGGAAGGCCCAATATAGCCCTCACACATAGGTCTGGCGGGTGGTCTGCTGGCTGTCAGTTGAGGCACCTTTGTACTCTTTCATAAGAACTGTCAACTGTCTGTCATATGCAAGAGGATCCCAGGACAACATTCAAAGAGGGATTTAAGGGCCAGGATTTAAACTTGGAGGTGTCACTTCTGCTATGTTCTCTTGGTGAAACAAATCACAGACAAGACTAGGCTCAATGAATTGGGAAATGGCTTTCACCACTTTCTAGGGGAAACAGAAAAATCACTTACGGTCATAATGAATCTATGTTCTACCTATCTATGTTACAGTTTGTTAGTGTGTGTATATATATGTGTATATATCATTCATTTTAAGTGATCTGACTGAGCTATTAAGATTCTTAATTACACATTTGCATTTTACTGGGATAACTCACACCTTCCATTCGTATGTTTGAGGCACATATTGTTATATGTGTTTCTCTATGGCCTGGCATGGTATACAAAAATTTTAATACGAGTATATTATCTTTACTATAAAATAAGTGATATGAAAATTTTAAATGTGCTTTTATAGTCATTAATTAGCACAATTAAAATAAATTAGTTACTTTTTTTTCCTTTGGTGTTTTTGAGACAAGGTCTCCCTGTAGCCCCAGCTGCCCTGGAACTCACTACGTAGACTAGGCTGGCCTTGAACTCACAGAGATGGTCTCTGCTTCCCAGTGCTGGGATTAAAGGCATGGGCCACCACACCTGGTAAATTAATTACTCTTAATAACTATGTGTTTAAGATTAAGATATAAAGGTATATTGAAATATGTTTATTTTTTATCTAGAATGCAACTAATGAACTCACTAAACAGTCATCAAATGTGAAGTCTCTGAAATCGGAACTCTTAGCAAAAGAAGAACACATGAAGGAAATGTGTGAAAAGTACGTACGCTGCCATGGTTTCTGCATTGTATTTGGTGCCACCTAGTGGCAGTCAAATGTACTAAACTTTGCTCTCCAAGAAACAATGCCAATCCAAAATTTCTCTTTAACTGTATTTACAATATTGCTTTCTGAACCACGTTTAAGTCTACATAGATGGAATTTAAGCATTTTTGATATATTTAATGACACATCAGCAACATTATTAAAAACAGCTTGATTACTCTTTTTAATAAGGGTAAAATAGAGTTATATTTCCCTTACTAAATATAATTTGAAGAAATATAAGTTAATGACTAGAAGACGATGAACAAACACCTTTAACTATGAATTTTATGAAAACAAAATGTATAGATTGTTATTCGCATTGGGTTTAATGCCTAGACTTATAAAACAAAAGTCAAAATTGGAAAGTTTTGTTTGTGCATAAAATAGCTGGGAGTATTTCTGTGTATACTATTTAAAATGGAGTTTCAAACCAATCAGGCTTGACACTGAAAAAAGTTATCTTCTTTCTATGGTTTTATAACTATATTAATGCTTATAACTGATAATATGTTCTGATAGAAGTCATCATTGATAAATTTAAGAAAAATGTTTCTCAATACATACCTATATGCCACATAAGTAAAATTATATTAAATTTTAAAAATTATGTTAAAATTATATTAATAAATAAAGCTGTTAGACAAAAAGATGGCTAGCTGAGTATTGTTGCTCCTACCTGCAATCTCTCTGGGAGACTGAGGCAAGAGGGAGGATTGCCCTGAATTTGAGGCAAACATGGGCTACATAGTTCCACACCAGCCTGGGATACATATTGAAACATTGTCTCAAAAAACAAGCAAGCAAAAATATGCCTTATTTTTAAATGAAAATGTTAGATCAAAAAGTAGTGTTCCTTATTGTTTAGTACTAAGGAGTTTAGATAAATAGTCTTTGAAACTTAGTTTCTCTATCTAGTACCTCTGTGCTTCAGTTTACAAGTATTAATTTGTAAAGTTCTCAGGAGGGAAAAAATGAGTTAACACAGAAAGCACCTTTAATAGTAACTGCACAAAATAAACCTCCACTCAGAATTACAGTGGAGAGAGCCATAACCATACTCACAGCATCAGAAGTAGTGGTCACCATGGCCACCATTTAACAATTCCTAATATCTCCCTTTCTTGAGCTAAGCTGATGTATGAATCCAATCTCAAATGAGCGTGAATTAAAAGATATGTCTAATTTTAGCTTCTGTGAATATTATAGTATCTGTTTATCAATTTGCAAGTTATTTCTTAACATCAGTAGGCTTTTGATTGTCTCTAAGTATCACTTCAAGTTTTCTAAGCAATGAAAAAATGTAATTTAAATGCAATCTAGGTTTTCATAAATTTTAATGATATTTCTCAGCTAATCATTTTTGCTTTAGTGTATAACCAAGTCACAACCAGATGATAAATTTTACTAAACTATAATGTGGTATTTTGTTCAATGCAATTTATTTTACTAACTGATAATGTCATTGATAATCAGCATTTTGAAACTAACAATAGGCATGGCTGTAAATAATATATTTTACCACTTTTAAAATATTTTCTGTTTACCTATTCAAATATTATTTTTCCTTTTAAGGATGTCTCGAATGGAGAGAGATATAACTATGAAAAGACATTTGATTGAGGACTTAAAATTTCGACAGAAAGTAAATTCAGAAAGTAATGAGAATTTTAGTGAAATGTTAGAAAATCTGGAAAAAAAGGTATCAGTCTTTATGTTCGTTGAAAAATATTTCCTATTGTTCTTGTATATTTTTATTAAAATTTTATGTATTTCATACACAACATCTTAGTCCTCTTTATACCCCCTTCCACACTGGCATCTCCCATAGCCCTGACACTATATTCATGCATTCATTTTCTTAAATATTCAATACTAAGCATGTCTAGAAAATATTTACAGCATGTATATTAACAGTTTAAAATTACATCATTTGTTCTGAAAAGTACATTTTATCTGTTTTAAAATTCAAAACTGAAAAATGTCATAAATAATATAGCCACACATTTTGTCTGTCTGTATACTGTTTTACAAGATGTTTAATTTGTAAAATCTCCAATATTTTTGGTTTACATAACGATGTTCTCTTCAGCATTTTATATTATTTAAAACCACAGAATCAAGCCGGGCATGGTGGTGCACACCTTTAATCCTAGCACTCGGGAGGAAGAGGCAGGTGGATTTCTGTGAGTTTGAGGCCAGCCTGGTCTACATAGTGAGTTCCAAGCCAGCTGGGGCTACAGGATGACCCTGTCTCAAAAAGACAAAAACCAAAACCAAAGCAAAACAAAACAAACACAGAATCAAGATATTATGCAAAAATAGCTATTATACCAGTAACTATTAGATGTTCTTTAAAAGAGAGTTTTCTTCTATATACTTAATTTAGTGTACATGGGAAGAGAAATTTCGTTTAAGGTATTTGTAAAATATATGACCCCAAACTGAAAAGATTTTGCTTTAAAATTATAACACTATACTGTTTGCACATACTATTGCACATACTATTGCACAGCTCCTATTTTGGCTTTCACTGTATGTTACCCTTTCCTGAGACAACATCTCTCTTGCTTTCATTGTTGAAGTTGAAAATCTAAGGATCTCGTAACTCAAATGTGTTTAAAAGAGAAAAGCTTACATGATTATAACACACACACATATGTGAATTTTCTATTTATTTCCATACACCCATGTAAATAATAATTACTCATATAGATTTTTCAATAATGTCCTTTAAATTTTTCTAACTTTTAGCTTCAAAAACCATTTCATGTATAGCCTTAAAATGATTATGTAATCATTTCTTTAGTGGCATTAAACAAAAAATAGAAAAATGTTTCTTCTGTTCGTTTTTGAAATGTATAATGGATATTATTATTATTCTATTTCACATAGCATACATTTTTGTGACATTTTAGTTCAGTACTTTGCTTAAGAATTGCTTGTTTCTTCATTACATGAATAAGTATACTACGTGAATTTGATAAAATACGTAAACTTATTCATTCAGTTTCAGATGAAATAATACCGCACACCATTGGAAAGCCTTTACCATTAACAGTAACCTTCATACTTTTGTGGTAGGTGAAGTCATTAACTGAAGAATGTGCCAACAAGAAGGTGTCATTTGATTCACTAAAGCAAAGACTTAATGTTGCTGTGAAAGAGAAGTCGCAGTATGAACAGATGTATCAGAAAACCAAGGAGGAGCTGGAAAAAAAGGTATGCTTTTCAACATTCTGATCCGGACGTAGAATTAATTCTGTGATGCCTTTTTCATTTTTTTTTTAAATTTTTAAAAATGATTTATTTAATAACAACATACTTAGAAGAAGCATATCATTACAACACAATTGACATATTCAATAACGGTTTCCTGAGGTAGGATGCATCTCTTTCAAAATTGGCTGTAAATTTTTAGGTTTACAGTTGAATTATTACAGTTATACAATATTGTACTCATTATAAACCCTATAAGACATAAATTAAATGATGTTTTAACCTTTAAAAAGATCTCCATTTCATTATTAAAATACACAGTTTCATACAGAAAAATTCTTTTTCAATGCAATTGACATTGGATGTTTGCACATGCATTTCTAATCTCTAAATATCTGATTATTACTAGTCACTGTTGGTTACTTTCTGAGCTTCTAGGCATCTGAGCATGGATATAAAGTCATCAGGTAGATTTCAATGGTAATGTTTTTCACATCTACTAATTATTGTTTTTTAATCATTATTTTTTTTAATTTTTTTTTCATACAGAAGAATTCATTCCAAAGCAATTGACATTGAGACGTTTTCACATGCATTTCTAATCTCTATATACATGACTATCATTGGTCACAGTCGCCCACCTTCTGAGCTCCTCGGCATCTGAGCATGAATACTAACTCATCAGATAGACAGCCTTCCTCTCCCACTAGAGGCTCCATACTCTGCCATCCCTGTCACTGTCCACTGTGTTGTCAGCACCCTCATCCATTCCCCCTGTCTGCCCTTCTGGTAAATCTAGTCAGCCAGAGGTCCCTGTTCCAGGAGGGTCAGCTGTTCCTCATCTACGGCAATCCATTGTCAGTATTCCTTTGGATAGAATTGGGGTCTGCTGTTCATGTTTCCAGTAGTATGTTGGGTTACTGTCTGGAAGAGCCTTTATCTATCCTAGCCAACAACTCGACTGAAGGTATCGCCTGTCTGGCTTTGTTGTTTGTCGAGTAACTTTTAGTTATGTATATGTATGCTCTTATGATATTATGTTGGCCCCTTTAATCTTTGGCTATACTTCCCTTTTGGGTGTTTAAGGACATACAATTGGACCAGATAAACTGATTTGTTTTTACTCGCAAGTTTTCTCCCTAAATTACTATGAACTCCTTAATAACTTCATGTAAATACAAAGAATATTGTATCACTACAGGAAATACTATGATTTTGTTTACATTAATGATAGTACTATATTAGCAAAATTAAAGTAAAACCATCACCTTTACCCAAATAAATTGCATACACAGAGTAGTAAAATCCCCTTCTAGTCTGAAATGTATAACTCACTTTTCTAATTGTTTATGAAATACTTTTTCTTTTATTAGTATCAATATTTTGCAGGATCTCAAGCTGAGTCTCCTTGCATCAAAAATAGATGAGACTGAAACTGCGATGGCAGAAATTGAGACGACAGCCTCCAAAGAGCTCCAAGGGCTAGCACTGCAAAGTGAGCAGGCCCTGGAAGGGGCACAGAAGAAACTGCTGTCGGCCAATGGAAAAATAGAAGAGTTCACCCTATTCGTAAAGGTTTCAATTATAATTAAAAAAATTTAAAAAGTCTCCCACCCAGTGGGACACCAGGGCCCAAAGTGTCTCTGTGACAGGTTTTTAGGGTTTTAAATTCTCCGTCTTATTTCTTTCTTAAGTCAGTGTAGTAATGAAATGGTCAAGGACAAGCACTCAGGGTAAATCTGCAGTGAATTAGTTTCACTTTGTTTTTAAGCATACCTTTTCAAAGCCAGTTCTTTCTTATTTATTTATTTTTATTTCATGTGTATGTGTGTTTTGCCTGCAGGTATATAAGTGCATCATATGTGTGCAGTGCCCAGAGAGGTCAGAAGACAGCTTTAGATCCCCTGGAACTAGAGTTAGAGATGGTCGCTAGCTGCTGAGTGGGTCCTGGGAATGAAAATTGGGTCCTCTGCAGGTGCAGCCAGTGCTCTTAACTACACCATCTCTTCACACCCGCCCACCCTGTTTTTTACATCATCTGAGTAAGAACAAACAAAAGCTACTCAGTGAAGTACACAGACTGTCAAGACGCAGTATGGATAGACTGCAGATGACTCAGGAGAACAGCAACAACAACAAACCTGAATCACCTGCACTTAGGTGATGCACAGCTATAGTCTCCAGACACTACCTACAAGTTGAAGAGCCCCAGAGAGATCTAGAACTAGATGCACAAAGAAACAGCTATGCTGTGATTGCTTGAGCGGGGCCAGATACTAACACTCCATCCAACAGCAATTTTCCTTCCCCATCCCTCTGGAGCAACTGAGGAGATGCTCAGGATTCAGAGGGAGAGAGCCTGTGATTGTTCTGCTCTGTTTAATCCCCTGTGAACTGTTCATAACTCAGTTTAATGCCTTTTATTCTTCATACTGTAGTTAGTAAGCAAATCTGTTTCCATTAGTTTCACCATGATGATTTCCTTAATAGTGGGAACAATATATTTTTATCTCCACAACATGAACCTTAGTGTCTTGTAAAGAATAGACATCACTAATTCAATTAAATTTGCTTGGGTAATGTGAAATTTTAATGGTATTCCTCTTGACCTTCAAAAACCAAATCTAAAATGGTTCATAATTGGATAGGAAAGTAATCCTTTCCTTCCCCTCTTCCCCACATCATACTGTGTTTTTATTTTTCAGTCTTTGATGAGCTTGAGCTCTTTGTGCTACTTTTCCTTCCATGGCATATGTTACTGAAAACAGTCATTAGGGAATGTGAAAGGCTGAGAGGCAATGCTGAAAACAGTCTCCTTGTAGTAGATGTGTGTTTGCAAATATAAAAATATTTTCCACTTATGAAATCTTTATAAATGGAAATTTAAATGTCCTTCCATAAAGTTATATCAGCATTCTTTTCCATGACCCACCATCATATGAATGACTCATTTAAACCTTGTTATAAGGAAATATGTTAAGAGGCCTAGAGAAATGGTATAGTGGTTGAGTGCTTGCTGATCTTCCAGAGCATCGAAGTGTGGTTCTCAGCACCCATGTTCCACTGCTCACAACTGCCTGTAACTTTAGCTCCAGGGAGTCCCAACATTCTTATCTAGCCTCTGCTGTGCCTACACACTGGTGGTACACACAAACACACAAATAAATAAAACTATGTTAAAGTATATTATTTTACATCTATAGTATGTTAATGTTCTCAGATGAGCTCTAATTTGATTCTCTCTAGACAGATCAGTTGGGCATCTGTCAAGTCCTCAGTAAAGAAGCTATTCTCCTCAGCATGTAGTAGAATATTTTAAATTATTTTTAGATATTGATCTCATAAGTAATAATATTCCTGGCCTTGTAGTTTAGATACATGTTGGCAAATAACTGATTTTTAGCTCCAGTGTTATATTCTTCACTCCCCTAAAGGTAGGTGCCTAAAACAGTGTTAATAATGCCCTATGGAATCCCTGCTACTTTGTTTCATTAGAATACAGTCTCTTCTGAGCTTTCTTACTTAAAAGTACCTACAAGATGAATGAAGTAAACATCTTACCTCTTTCTCTCTTTTAATGAAGGTTTCAAATGGTGTAAAGTCAAGCCAATAATGCGTGCCTCCAAAGATCCTTAATGGTTATGAAGAATTAATTTTAGTAAATATAATTTAGCTTTCCTGGTATAAAATGTTGTCTTCTGCCCAGTGTTTGCTGGAGTCTCACTGTGTACCTTGTCAGGATGAGCTCTCTCCCTGAATACTGTTGCTGTCTCACCCTGGTAGACATATTTTATTATGATGGGTTTTTCTAGTTTCTTTCCAGCTTTGGGTTTCCTTTGTTGTACTTGTAGCAATGATTTAAAATATGAAATATAAACTATAAGATTATAATACTAACCATTGATTTTAATGAAATATACCTTGAATGTGGTGTTTTCAAAGAGAAAGGTAAATGAAAATCAGAAGTTTTTACAATAGAAAAATGAATTTCTTGACTAGATATTTAATTATTGCCCACTTGGTATAGTTTATGATCATAACAAAATAATAGGTAGATTTCTGCACACAGAACAGATTAGCAAAATTAACCTAAAAGCAAGCTTTTATTTATGTGCATGAGTCTGTAAACTTCAGCTATTCAAAGGGGCCATATTGGTCCTTCATACTGTTAACCAACAGTGATATAAAGTGTTAATAGATGGGTCAGGATTGTTATGATTTCATGGATATTTAATTCAAATATAATTTCAAAGAGCATAGTATAGCTAATGTTTATTATTCTTTCAGAATTTTTTTAAAGATGGCCCAAGACTATCTGCATTTTATTGTCCCATAGATTGTAACCAGCTTTCTTTTAATTTCATCAAGATTCTGGAGGTGGGATTGCTGCCTTCAATTTGTGGGCCATGCAGTGTAGTCAGTGTCCCCATCCTAAGTAGTTCTGTACTAGCCTGGAGGCCCAGCTGCCACTGTCCCTACCTTCTTTCAGAATTTTTACTCTTTGTTTTAAATTTGACATTTAGTTACCTATTTCAAAGTCCTGATTCTCTTGTGTTTAAACAAAATACATAATATTAGCCTCTGAATATATTGAGTCATAATTCCAGGTGGGTAGGTCCCACAGATCTTCATTTTACAAGTTAACTAAGTGAATATAATAAACAGTTCTAGAAACATTCCCTTAAGTTGTTTTTAAAAATTCAACCTATATACCAGAAAACATATCCGTTTGGCACCTAAAACTTTTATAATTTCTAATGGTGATTTGTCAGTTGTTTTAATTAATTGTGTAATGGGCTAGTTAGTGTATAATTGATGCTGACACCATGTTCCCTTAATCTGTTTTCTCAGTCAAAAGCTACCAGCAGCCAAACCCAGAAATATTGGCAATGTCTGGGAAGCTGGGTCTTGAAAGGGATGATCAGCCTCTTCTCTTTATAAAGCTAATCTTGGACTAGGCAAAGATGCTCAGAGGCCACTGGCTCAGGCAACATACCATCCTTGGCTTCCCAAGGAGGCTTTTCTTGTTCATTGTGTTACATCCAAGCTTCTATCTTTTTGCAGATTTTAGTCCTGTAACTGAATGCTATTCTGCAAGGAATCTAATCTTTCCCACTTCTGTCCAACTTTTACTCATGCCCATCTTGTTTCTGCCTTTGCTCAAGGTTTACTTCTCACCACTATAAAGACCTGCCCATCTGTTCCCAGCCCACAGCCTCCTATGTGGGTTTTTCCTTTAACTCTATAGCTAAGAACACAAAGCTCAATTGTGCCCCTTGCTAGCTTTGTGGTTTCAGGCAACTGGTTTTGTCTTCTGTCCCTCTGTTTCCCTTTTCATAAAATGATTTTAATAGTGGCGCATACTTGATTTTTATGTCATCATATCTAAAACTCAAAAGGATGGCTAACCTACCAGAAGTTCTCTCTAAATTATCAACCATTACCATTATTGTAATGATAAATAACAGAAAAGTTCTTATCTCCTGAACAGTTACTATATGTACCTGATAAATTAACACATAATTATAAAATCGTGAATTTTCTTTCTGCTTTAAGTAGATTATATAGTCAATTTGGGAGCAGGAACATTATCATTTATTTCCTTATAATACTGGCAACCAGTAAGGCTCATTATATCCTTAACAAATTGATCAGAGAGAGAGAGAGAGAGAGAGAGAGAGAGAGAGAGAGAGACCTAGTCACTTCTCAGATTAAAACTGTAAAATTAAAAACTATTCATTAACTACAAATGTTAAAGAACATACTGTTCTTATGTGGACCATTATAATGCATTATGTATACAGGTTATTAGATATGAACGTAAAAGTACTTAATAATATTATTAGTATTAATAGTACTGATGTTAGTTCTGGTCCTGTTGTGGAATGTGTGTTCCCTTTAGTCTTCTCATTTATTTGTAGGGCACAACCAGATTATGGAAGGAATGGAGTGGCCATCTGTTCTAGATCTAGTCTTGAATACGGAATTTTGCCCTGGGGTGAAATCAAGGGCTTTGAGCATCTGGGCTGGGTATATGTGGCAGAGCTGAGGCTTTGAATTCTCCTAATAACCGAATAAAACACACTAGGGAAATTTCTAGAAGTATTTGCTCAGTTTGAGTCATACCTGATGTATGGGCTTGTTAATGTGCCTATGTATGAGAGTCATATGCGAAGCTCCATTTTCTCAATGGGATTTTTTGTTAACTACAAAGTATACACCAGCCAAAGAAAAGTATTTAATTGGAAGCATGCATAGTTTCATTATGAATATGTATTTTGTATGTTAAAATTTGGTTAGGTGTTGTAGACATAATACATTTCTTTCATATATATATACAAATATATGCATAGACATTTGCTGAACATTCCAATTTTATTTTTACATATTCAATTGTTAGTACATTGGCACTGATATAGTCTCTTAATTATGAATTTAAAACAATTCTGTGATACAGTTAAATTTGAATTAACTCAGTCTTACCATCACTCTCAAGGTAAGTTAGAGCTTTTAAAGGGAAAAGTTCTTAAGAGTATATTACAATAACGGGTTGAACTTTAAACTATATAAATTAT